CGTCCCTCCTAACTTTTGATTGGCTGTATCCTCATGGGGAGTAGAGACTTTATTGTCTATCTATCTCCGTGTCATGCATCCAAGAAATGCTATTCACAACACAGACGATAAGTTAATGTCAACAAAATGCATGAAATAAACACTAGTTAACACATAGCTAGGTGGTGGCACATTCATTCCACTTTAATGCTGGAATAAGGTACCGTTTACTTTCCTTAAACTTAAGAAGTTTCTAATGTCTTACACGTATCTTTTTATACTTGAGTTTTACTAGGTACATATGATTTTGACACCAACCATTTATAATTCAAAATTATATACATATATATATTTTTTCCAGATAGGTGTTATTACATAGCCCTGGCTGGCTGGTACTGACTATGGAGTCCAGGAGGCCCCTGAATTCATGGCCATCCTCCTGCTTCGGCATCTCAAGTGCTGGTTTTCGTGGCATGTGCTACCTTGCCTAGCTAAAATTATCTTGAGAATCAGACAATCTATTTTGTTGTGACACAAGTCATTCTTTTCTATAGCTTCATAAAGGTTTAGATCAAATGTGAATAGATATATTTCCCAAGAACTTATTCTGTATGCCCCAAAACAATCACAGGAAGATTTACCACCTATCCCAACATGCCCTTCTCCTAACTGGCTCCGAGGTAGGCACGTCACATGGAGTTTTCATTTTGCAGACGTGGAAAAAAGCAAATCACCAAAATTCAGTTCATCTGTGCTCTTTCATAATCACTTGTGAACTCAGAGAAGCAATTATTTTGACTCAGTTATTTGACCACATTGATACTTCACTTTATTTGAAGAAATCAGCTTTGTTTATTGCATTTCTCTTTTTCTTCAGTGCTGGGAAAGCTTTCCTATCACTGAGCTCTACTCCCAGCTCTGCTATTGTATTTCTTAGGTAGTACAATTAAATATCACACACACACACACACACACACACACATGCCAACAGCTCTTGTGGCTCATTTTTCTCTCTACTCTTCTGTGTAAGCGCCCATGTTTTATCAATTTGTTTTTTAAAGATTTCTCTGTTTATGCGTGTGTCTATGAGTAGCACATGTGTGCCAACATCCACAGAAGCCAGAGGTTCCCTGGAACTAGAGTTCCAGGCAGTTGTGACCTTTCCTGTGTGGGTGCTAGGAACCAAACGGGTATCCTCTGCAGGTCGTCTTAGCCACTGAGGCATCTCTTCAGCCTGTTTCGCCCATTTCTGTTTATGGTGATGGGAAACTGGCCTTGTATTCTCTGAGGCCAAGATCAAAATCTTTCAAACTTCTGGATTTATGGTCTTCTATAATATACTACACAAATGAAAAGGAACCTGACATGTTACAAAGGCATTACAATTCAAATAAGCTCCACTTGGCATGCTGGGACTTCTGACAATAGTAACATCATGTTTTCAGGACATCTGCCTACACTGCTGCAACAGAAACTTCATTGGTCAGGGTCACAGCTGTTATGTTTTACACTGTGTTTCCAGTGCAAGCTCAGTGCTTGCCATGAAATAGGAGCCGTGTGTGTGTGTGTGTGTGTGTGTGTGTGTGTGTGTGTGAGACAGAGAGAAACAGAGACAGAGAGAGACAACAGAGACAGAGACACAGAGACATAAATAGCGAATGAATAAAATTTTACCACCTGAAACAGGGAACTAAAGAAAAAGAGGAAAAAAGAAATTGTGCATCGAGGCAGAACTTATTCAACACCACAGAGTACCAGCACTATGCTAAAATCATGCCAAGGTATCATTACACGGAGGCATGAAACTTCGTGCACTATATTTATCAGAAAATTGTTTAGGTACTTCCTTGCAACCTACTAGTAGTTTTGACAACTGTAATAAGCATTGGAATTATCAGCCCCAGGGTTAGAAGCTTTGCTAGATGCTATTTGTGAATACACAACAGCAGCAAGAAGTGAGCTCTGTTAGAAGGAAAGCCGTAATCCACATACAACGAAGAGAAGTGTCTAAGTGTGAATCCCCAAGTCTCCATTGTCCTGTGTATGTGACTCCATGTGTGTGCTTGGGTGCTCGACATGGAGAAGGTATTTCTAGTGAGGGTGGAAAATGAGAAGGACAGGGTAAGGGACATTAAGGTAAACACTAGCCAGGGCCAATGAAAAGAGTTTGCACTCTTCTGAGGGTGAGTGATGAAGACCTCAGGACACTTCCTGTGGCTCTGAGAGTGCTTTTACCTTCCCATTTTGAAACCTCCTTATTTGCAAGAATTATGGATCCATGGGAAGTTGTAAAGAGAGTGCTAAGATGCCACATATGACCTCTCCCGTCTAGTTTTGTCTGCTGTGATTTATGGGACAGCTGACTCCAAGGCGCTGCTTTGCTCAGATATGAGATTGTTGTTACTCTGCCAAGCTTGGATACATTTGGGTTAGGCTTCTCGAGAGCCGTGTGAGGACGGGTCATTTTCTAAAAGCAATATAGCTGTGCTTAAGGTGCACAAAGAATTAGGAGGTCTAAATTGATTCTGAGAAAAGCTAGCCTGCCTTGTAGCAACTGATGTTAACGATTATGGTCATAAACCACACAATGAAGGATCTGTGGGTTCTATTTAGGGAGGCAAAAAAAGAATGATCAAATGTGGAGTTTTTCTATAGAGCAAAAACTAGAAAGGACTCAAATGCCTACCAGTCATCAGGAATTAGTTGAATAAGTTGTCCAGTAGAATAACTTTATGCCATAGAATTCATATTTAAAAGTACATATATAAAAAGTACATATTATAGCAATAACTTGTATATATGTATATATAATACAGATATGTATCTAGAGACATATGCAATATGTACATTTTATCTCTCTCATTATTTTTCTTCTCCCCTCACTGGCTGACATTGAGGAATAGAATGCACTCACTGTGGCCTGGTGCCATACTCTACTTGCTGCTCTGGCTTTACTTTCTCCTAAGTGACCTTAGAGGGTCTCTTGGCTTTAAGTATCAGTTCAGTGCTGATGGCTTGGCATTTACATCTCCGCTGCTCTCCTTTCTCCTTAACCGCAGACTCTTACATTCAACTGACAACTGCTCACAACAGTATACTGACCTATTGCCTCCCATGGTCCTCTCCCCATGCCCAAGCACTCCTGGGTGAACCAGCTTTTGCTTATCTTCTGGCCCCTTATTTGAAGCCACTCCCATGCCCTATTCACTTTTCTCTGATTGTATCCTCTGCTCAGGAACTCCATTTTTGCTGTTCTTTTTTCTAGGAATGTTTTTCCTTTGATATTTTATTTCAAGTGTCATCTTGGAAAAGCTTCCCTAATCAATATATCTAAGGCCACCATTATTTCTCAGTAGCCCTCTACACCTCATTTTATGGCTACAGAACACATATTTTGCCACCAGTCTCATCATTAAAATAGAATCTCAGAAGAATAGAGAAGCTCCCTATCTTGCTAATACCTGAAACCACAATGTCTTCAAAAAGTTTGTGGAATGTAAAAAAAAAAAGTAATTAATATTTATGTTAAGAGGGGCAAAGGAGAAGAAGAGGGAGGGGATAAAATTGGGAGAGGAGGGGGCTACAGCTGGGATACAAAGTGAATAAACTGTAGTTAATAAAAATAAAATTTAAATTTAAAAAAAGAACCAGAAAAAAATATGTTAAATAGGGAATTGGGATGTAAATCATTGGTAGAGTGAGTGCCTAGGAGGAGTTAGGCCACAGCTTCAATTTCCAGCACAGAATAAAAGATCATGATGAATAAATTTTGGAAGATGTGGTGTTCCTTCATTCCTGGAGTTGTGGGCCACCAGTTCTCAGGAACAAGGGAACAGAAGCAATGAAATGGAGATTCTGATGGCCAGCAAGTACAATAGAATGACCTCCAGAAACCACTTGAGCAAGATAGCTCAACTTGATTTGGGGTGAGCAAAGGCTATATAGTCCTTGGGGAGTGGGTGGGGGCTCCCAGGCAGGGTAAGTGTAAAGGATTGATGCTAGGAATTGGTGCTAGGAATTCCAAGGATGCTCTGTTTGCATTCAGCAGCATGGCCCTATCATCTGATGGGTAACACAGAACCTAATTATTCCATAGGTGCAGAAAGGGGAGAGTGCTAGAAGGGAGCTGTGCCAAAGCTGTGCCAACTATATATATCAGATATAGTTGGAGGTTTTTATGCCTAAAGACACTCTCCAGATAAGATCCAGCATAGAGTAGAAGTCCTGCATCCAGGGCCTAGCTCAGAAAGGCTCTGCAGTCCTGGAGGATTGCAACCTCAAACAGCAGAGTTTTCTAACAAGTCTGTACAACAAACTACAGTGCAAGTGCTGTAAGAGGTAAATCATAAACTCATATTTGCTTTTTGGCCAATAAATATTGTAGCCTTTATTTAAAGTAAAGCATCTTAATTATACAAACAACAATTGATAAATGTTGCATTCTCAAAATAAGCTATGACTACCTGGAAGATGAGTACCAGGCAGCTTTATTTTTGATGATGGTAGGTAGGTACCATGTCACGGTCCATACAAAACACTCATACTTTTGTAAACACAAAGAAGTCAAGCAAGAAAACTATTCAAGTCAGTTTTCACCCTTTTAGATTGGTGGCTATATGTTTCTAGAAAACGATTTTAATAATTTTTCCCAAATGTTAACAACCACTACGATGGTGAAATCTTTCTGCCTGTTTTGCTCTACATCATTCTCTACAACTTTGACAGATGTGTTTGCTTCTCCTTTTTCAAGCACAATGTTAGCTGCCGTACCTGAGTCTAAACGTTATGTCATCACACAAGGGACAGACCTTCGGCTTATTGAGTATTGCAGCTCTCTGCTTGTTCTGGAACCTCTTCTGATACTGTGGACTTAGTTCAAGGCCAGGTAATACTATTTTTCTTTTTCTAATAGGAGGACAAATAGTTAGTTGTTTGCTTTGGTCACCTAAGTTCAAGTTATTGGATCATGGTCCTATGCATATAAAAAGCCTCGTTGGAGCCACTGTTGGGAGACAGCCTTACCTTGCTAACTGAGCACTAACTCTCTCCTTGCGAGCTTTTCCTGCATTAACAAAATGACAATTTCTTTGATTTGGGGGATTGCTGTGGCAGTGTGTTACTGCATGTGGCTCGTCTTTGGAACAAGGAGAAGGTATGGAAAAAAAAATTTTTATTTGTCTTTTAACTTATCTGCAGTCTTATTTACCTCTACCATTACACAGTTCAAAAAACTGATACATTAATATTTTCTATTTAAAATTTAAAGACATACTTCTTTGATTAAATCTGACAAGATGTAGACATTTTTTCTTTGACTATCCACACCAATGGTAATGCAGATCTTGTTAGACATAAGTAAAAATTTATAAGTTACTGATGCATGTTTGTGTATGTGTGCACAGAACAAAGCTGGGAAGGGTGCATTTGGGAAGAGTGAGATGTGGAAGGGTTCTTTATGTGACATGAACTAAACAGATGCTCTGCCTAAGCCTCTGTTCATTTGGGTTTTCTGCAGACTCCATCCAAGCCTGGATGAGAGCACCGAGTCTGCGTCTGTCTGTCTCCAACTTTTCTTCCCAATGTTAATCAGCTGGGGAACTGGGAAGCTTTGTTGCCTGCACGTGACACCAATTTTATTGGTTAAAAAAATTTTGGGGGCAGGACATTTAAATATTGTCTGTTACATCAACATCAAAATACGAGGATACCCTTGGCATATCTTCAGCTGGGTAGACTACCGTCTTTTGTCTTATTTTATAAAGTTTCTTTGCCCTTTGAGTTATTTTTAATTCATGCCTGATAGTTTCCAGTTTTCATTAAATAGCTCATTTCCATTCTAAGAAAGAAAAAAAAATCAATTATATTCAGTTATTCTCACAAGAAGTTAAATAGTTTATGCTGGGAAATAAATAAGCTTAGAATTTCTAATAGACCATTTAAGAGAGAGTAAAAGAGCATTGAATTATAGTTGATGATCTGCCAATCTTTACCTAACAAAATTTTACTTCATAGCGATCTGATTCTTCAAGAAAGATTCCTGTCCTCTTCAATTATCATTGCAGGATAATGATGTCCTTTTTTCAGAGTTGGGAATCAAATGGAGCGTTTCACACATGTTAGGCAAGAGTTCCACCATTGACCCATACCTCCAGCCCTGAAGTGCCAATATTTTTAAACTATGTAGACTTTTACAACTTCAGTCCTGAAGTCCTTTCTGTTATTTGATGTTTCACATATTCAAAGAAAAGGAACAAATGAAACATTTTAGGCATCTGGGAGAATGATTCTTAGAACAAGTCGAGGCATTAAATGATAGTTTCATTTCTACACAGAAAGCCAGAATCCTGGTGGCTATGTTGACACTTTTAGCCCTGTCACTGGGAAAAGCAATCAGCTATAGGCATAAAAAACAATTTAATGAATTCTTGCCCAACATATGTATATATGGTGGAAGACAGACTGATGGATGGGTTGCAGGATGAACTGATGAGTAGGCAGATTTAGTAATCATCTTCAATATCTTAGCAGGCTAAAAACAAATCCAAGTTTTTATTAAAAGAGCGGGATAACCATCATAAAAAGAAGTATTTGTGAACTGTAGTCATGAAGCTTGAAGTAAGTGATAGAAATGTGTGAAAAGCTGGCCTAAATAAAAACACTTGGTATGCAATTTTCCAAACCTCTCAAATCTGTGTCTTACAGGAAAGTTGGTGAACCTCCTTTGGATAATGGGTTGATTCCGTACCTTGGCTGTGCTCTGAAATTTGGATCCAACCCTCTAGAGTTCCTGAGAGCAAAGCAAAGGAAGCATGGTCCTGTTTTTACCTGCAAACTAATGGGAAAATATGTCCACTTCGTCACAGACTTGTTGTCATACCATAAGGTGTTACGTCATGGGAAATATTTGGACTGGAAGAAATTTAATTACACTACTTCTGCAAAGGTAACTAATTTCTACAGACGCTGTTTGTCTCCTAGACTGTTGATGTATCAGCCTATCTAGCTGCTCCAGTGTTATTAAATTGCAGGATAGAGGTAACATCACAGGAGAAAATCCCTTAGTGCAGAATGTTAAACATTGAAGGTATATGTCAATTTGTCATTGATGATGACCAAGGAAGAATTAAGCCTTTTGTGACTTACAGAGACAGATCACACACTGTGAATAATCCGGTACAGATCCATAACCTCAGTGGCATCTGCACAACACTCAGAGGAGAGTGCTGGCAAGTATAGCACTCAACACATCCATCGCCATGTCCATCCACACAAATGTTTCATTCTTTAGGAAGTAAGGTGTACATTTAAGCAAAATTCAGATGTCACTAAGAATCTCTATTCTAGAGAAAACAATACTTACTGAACTTTTGCAGAGAGTATTAGCATTGTCTCTGTCATTAAGTAGATTGAAGTCTGGTTATAGTGCATCTACAGAGAATGTAAAGGCAAAATAGGGCAACACCAAAAGATGATACCCGGTCCAGGAAAGTTCCATTAAAAAGCTGGGATTTAAACTTGTCTTTGTTCTGCCTTTGGAAAGCGCTATGAAATCACACGTGGGAAGGCCAGACAAAGAAATATGAATATATTTAATCTGTCTTCCAGCCATTTCCTACCACTCGCTAGCTCAGGTTTAGCCTCTCCCCCTTTCATGGATTTTATTTTCTGCCAGGTGTTTGGACACAGAAGCATTGACCCAAACGATGGAAATACCACAGAAAACATAAACAGCACTTTTAACAAAACCCTCCGAGGAAATGCTTTGTGTTCACTCTCTGAAGCCATGATGCAAAACCTCCAATCTGTCATGAGGCCCCCTGGCCTTTCTCAATCAAAGAGTGCTGCCTGGGTCACGGAAGGGATGTATGCCTTCTGCTCCCGAGTGATGTTTGAAGCCGGGTATCTAACGCTGTTTGGCAGAGATGTTTCAAAGGCAGACGACACACAAAGAGCGCTTATTCTAAACAACCTGGACAACTTCAATCAATTCGACCAAGTCTTTCCGGCGCTGGTGGCAGGCCTCCCTATTTACTTGTTCAAGACCGCGTACACAGCCCGCGAAAAGCTGGCTGAGGACTTGAAGCAGCAGAACCTCTCTGTGAGGGATCAAGTCTCTGAACTGATCAGTCTGCGCATGTTTTTCAATGATACTCTCTCCATCTTTGACGACACAGAGAAGGCCAAGACCCACCTTGCTATCCTTTGGGCAGCTCAAGCAAACACCATTCCCGCAACCTTCTGGAGCTTATTTCAAATGATCAGGTGACTAGCAATTTAAGTTGTTTATTCCTCATAGTGACAGAAACTACAATTTTTACCTCAAAAACCTTTCTGTGCCATCAATCAAGAAAGTGCTCCCCAAGGCCTGGGTCTAACACGTGCATTTTGTAACAGACCCATCTGAGGGTGACCCAGAGCCACGGAACTCAGATGGCCTGGCAAGCCATCAAAACAGCTCCCCTGGCCCAGTCTCGTTCATCGATTGCCCCCTAGTGTTCCTCTTAAGGTCGTATTAAATCCATGGCTTCAGTCTTCCTCAGGATAAAAACATTTTCTCTCTCTCTCTCTTTGTTGTTGTTGTGTTGTTAAAGGCTTTACTTTTTAATTTAATTTAATTTAATTTAATTTATGTATTTATTTATTACAATTTTGTTCACTTTGTATCCCGCTGCAACTCCCTCCCTCCTCTCCTCCCAATCCCACCCATCTTCCCACTTCCCCTATGCCCTATCCCTAGTCCCCTGAAAGGAAGCCCATTGGCTGCTCAGTTTCCAAGTGGGTTCTCTAGTAAGGGGAACGGGGACTGTCTCTGACATGAACTTAGTGGCTGGCTCTTTGATCACCTCCCCCTGGGGGGTGCAACCTTGCCAGGCCACAGAGGAAGATGATGCAGCCAGTCCTGTTGAGACCTGATAAGCTAGGATCAGATAGAAGGGGATAAAAACATTTTCAATGATGACTGACCTCCAGCTGTGATAAGGGTGGTGGCCAAACCTTACTCATTTGAGTGTTCCTGCTTTCCTGCTATCTCACAGATTTACGGCAAAGTTGCACCCATCAATTTCATATCCTATATGAACTGCAGCCATATTTTAGGTTACACTAACTACTTGTTAGTCAAACACTTCTGAGACTCAGGTCACTGTAATAAGGTAACGGAGATTTCAAACTCAGCCTCCAAGCAAATCGAGTATCCTTTATCTCACCATTCAAAAATAATAAGTGTAAACACCATTCTGAAGCCATGGTATGAATTTTAACAGCAAATTTGAGTTCCTACTTGGGAATTAACCAATACCCTGTAATTGCATGCTGGATGAAATGTCCCTTCTAAATTACTATGTTCATCATGTGACTGCCTATCCCTCATTGAAATCATTGGTTTATACCAATCTGACCAAAGCTTTGATTTTACATAGCAAAGCCTCTTTAATGGCCCTTCGTGAATTCGAGGACTCGAATCCAGTTCAGAACACAGTGCAAATAAATGGCAACGCCTTGGTGCTAATCCCTGGCACCATGACCTCTCCCCCTTGCATGCTTCCTGGTACCATAGCCACCTCATTAAAAGACATGGATAACTCTTGTTTACTTGCAGACCTCGGAATAAGAATTTTTTCCATATGTCTCTTTTGGTAGGAATCCTGAAGCAATGAGAGCAGCCTCTGAAGAAGTGAATAGAGTATTGCAGTGTGCTGGACAAAAGCTCGGCTCTGGAGGGAATGCCATTCATTTGGATCAAAAGCAGCTGAAGAACTTGCCGGTGTTAGGTGAGATCCCTACGCTACCCCTCATTTACCGTGTCACCAGTAACAGTGACCAACATACAGTGTACCATGTTCTGGATTTTATGCCAAGTACTCTGCACCCCCAAAACAACCTGGTAACTTGATCAGAAGATGGAGCAGTGGCAGCATTGGCATAGGGCTATTGATACCCAGCCACTCCACGTCCTTTGCCCCCTTGTTAGTCCATCAGAGCCACTAACCTTAGGGATAAAGGAAGCATGCAGCTAACATGAGCAAGGGACCATCACAAAGGCGTAATGGGTTGGGTGGTGGGAGTGTGGCTTATCTTACCTTGTTTCTATAATTTTTAGAATACAGAAGTGCCACATGTTTATAGTAAGACCCTTTACAAGCTCTCTTCCATAAAGAACAGAATCTGACATGTGCTTTGAGAGCAATTTAACTGATTGGAAGTGAAAGAAGTCTGGTTGAAGGCCTCTGGCTTCTGTTACACTATCAATACTGGCCTCAAACCAGACTACAATGAACATTTGCAAGAAAAGTTGTTTGAGCAAAAGGGTATTCTATGTGATGCACCATGACACACCTCAGCTTTCATGGGGATATTTTTATTTTTTGTTTTTTATTTGCGGGGCAGGGAGGTTACAAGGTGAAGTGTATATATTGAGGGATGGGGTGATAAGTGGGATTGGGATGCATGATATGAAATTCACGAAGAGTCAGTGAAAAGTTTTTAAAAAGTGACAGAAATCTAGATCCAGGGCTGTCTGATGTGGGAGATATAGACACGTCGCATTACTTTTGACACCTTCTTGCTCTCATTTGTAAAGAAAGGGCTAATCATTTATGATTGCGCATACAATCCTGTCATGAACCCTAGGAACAAGGCAGTTGTAGGTTAGAGTTGGAAGGCCAGCCTGGATCTCTCCTAGACTTCAGCTATTCTGAGTTTTATTTCTTTGCTCCCTGACTTTACCTAGAAGCAGAACAGCATTACACACCATCAGATAATTACAGCTGAAAGTGAGGTTTCCTAAAGGCTGGATTCACGAAATGCCTCGAGAGACATTTCTCTATCAGTATGTTTAATTTCAAAAGTGGTCAATAGTAAGTCACACAAAATTGATTACTAGTTTTTCCAATTTTGTTAGCTGCATAGTATTCCACAGAAATAATACTAATGTTCTGTTAAATGATGGCGATCTACTTAGTCTCTAAGGACAGTGAAGAATATTAAATCAGACCAAAATATTATTAACTCAGATCAATGGTTCTCAGTCTTCCTAATACTGTGACACTTCATGCTATGGTGACCCCCCAACCATAAAACTATTTTCATTTTTGCTTCACCACTGTAATTTTGCTACTATTATGTATTGTAATGTAAATATATGTGGGTTTTTTTTTTTTTGAGGTCTTCAGGCAACCCCTGTGAAAGTTTTGTTTGACCCCAAAGTGGTCACAACCCACAAGTTGAGAAGCACAGACTTAGATGATCAGATTTAAAATGTTTCGGAACGGCAGAGTCACCAAGAACAGTAGCAGCCGTGGGAAGCTTTCATCTGTTAGCTTTGCATTTTCTCATTGTGTGTATTGGCTGTCAGAACTGTTTCGGGCCTTATGTTATGTAGCTGTCAGATGCATAAATTCAGGGCTGGAGAGAGGGTTCCGTGGTTAAAAGCACTTGCTGCTTTTGCAGCGGACTCAGGTTTAGCTCCTAGCACCATATGGTGGCTCACAACCATCCATAATTTCAGTTCCAGAGGATCTGATGCCTTCTTCTGATGTCTACAAACACTAGCTAGACAGGTGCACAGTGCACACGCATACATACAGGCAAAACACCCATAAACATAAGCATAAATGACTCGAAAATATTTTAATGTGTAAATTATTCTCCCCCCCCTACAGCCATTTTCTTTCCCTCCACCTTTCTTTCTTCCTTCCTCTCTTACTTCTTTTATTTTAAAATATTTAGATAGCATCATCAAGGAGGCTCTGAGGCTTTCCAGTGCATCCTTGAATATTCGGACCGCTAAGGAGGATTTCACTCTACACCTTGAGGATGGTTCTTATAACATCCGAAAAGATGACATCATAGCTCTTTATCCACAGTTAATGCATCTGGATCCTGAAATCTACCCAGACCCTTTGGTAAGTTTCTGTTCATCAAAGTTCAGTGTTGAGGTGATATTCACCCAGGTCTAAATAAGGGATGGATTTGCAATTACATCTTTGATTTGCTCCTTGGAACCGTAGGTATTGTCTCCTTTTATTATAGCAAATATTCATATGTTTGGAAATTTTGAATACAGGCAAGAGTGTTGAAGTTTTAGTCCTGCTATTTTTCATTTCATAGATTCTGCTACATTCTGCTTTCTTTTTAAACTTTAATTAATTAATTAATTAATTAATTTTTTACAATTTATTCACTTCATATCCTGATTGTAATCCCATCCCTCATCTCCTCCCAATCCCACACTCCCTCCCTCTCTGCCCACCCCCCTCCCCTAGTCCACTGAAATGGAGAGTCCTCTTCCCCTACCATTTGACCCTATCCTATTAAGTCTCATCAGGACTTCCTGGGTCCTCTTCCTTTGTGTTCTGGTAAGGCCACCCCACCAGGGGGAAGTTAGCAAAGAGCAAGCAACGGAGTTCATATCAGAGAAAATTCCCTGATCCTCTTACTAGGGAACCCACATGGAGACTAAACTGCCTATGGGCTACATCTGAGCAGGGGGTCCTGGTCTTCTCCATGCTTGGTTGATGCATCAGTCTCTGCAGATCCTCCTGGGTCCAGATTCTTTGACTTTGTTGGTCTCCTTGTGGAACTCCTGTCCCCTCTGGGTCTTTTATGCTCTGCTCCTACACTCCTTCTTCCATAAGACTTCCTGTACTCTGCCCGAAGTTTGGCTGTGAGTCTAGGCATCTATCGATGCCTGGTTGGGTGGAGTCTTTCAGAGAGCCTCTGTGATAGACTCTAGTCCTGTTCCCTGTACCCTTCTCCATTGCTGGGAGTGCAAGCTTGTAAACCACTTTGGAAATCAATCTTGTGCTTTCTCAGAAAATTGGGAACAGTGCTACCTCAAGACCCAGCTATACCACTCTTGGGCATATACCCGAAAGATACTGCACCATGCAACAAAGACATTTGCTCAACTATATTCATAGCACCTTTACTCATAATAGTCAGAATCTGGAAACAACCCAGATGTCCCTCAATGGAAGGATGGTTACAGAAATTGTGGTACATATATTATGCTTTCTGTTGTTTTTCCTTAAAAACATACCTTCTCCCAGATCCACACTATTGGAGGGTAATGTATCCTTCTACTTTCTGTTCAGAACCCTTCTTGCTCCTTTGCCTAACTCTGGAACAAGTCCACAGGCAAGACCTAATGCTTCTTGGTCCACCAGCTCTCAATAAGCCCTTTCCAGTGTCACTCTGGTTCAGAGCTGGGTGTGCTAACTTTCGGAGGATGGAGTTATTCGTAGAAAATCACTCCTTGCATCTTCCAGGTTAGCTCATTGGCTTGTTGTATTTTGATTGCAGACTTTTCAGTATGATCGATACCTTGATGAAAATGGGAAGGCAAAGACCGCCTTCTATAAAAACGGAAAGAAGCTATCGTGTTCCTACATGCCCTTTGGATCAGGAGCCACAATGTGTCCTGGAAGACTATTTGCTGTCCAAGAAATCAAGCAATTTTTGATTCTGATGCTTTCATATTTTGAACTGGAACTTGTGGAGAGTCACATCAAGTGTCCCCCTCTAGACCAGTCCCGGGCAGGTCTAGGAATTTTGCCACCATTAAATGATATTGAGTTTAAATATAAACTAAAACAGTATAATATATGATTGGAAGACAAGTTCACTGGGTGATGTTACTGGACCGCAAAGAGTCATCACTAAACAGGCCTTTGTGGAAAATGGTCGCTGATGTTCCCTAGGGAAGGGTTGTATCAGTGACAAGAACTGGCTCCCAAAGGTCCCCACCCTTTCTTCTTACTTCCTAAGTTCCCGGGTGTCCCAGGGACCGAGTCATCACTTTCAGTCACAATGTCTTTTGTTTTTATTTTCAAAATGAAGATATTCTAATTGGCAGGATTTTTTTTCCTAAGGAAATTGCTTCATTTTTTTTTTAATGAAAACTACTGATTAATCGTGAAAAGGCTTCAAATTCATGTTTTAGTGAAATGATTTTTTCACTAGTGAAGTTCTTCAGGTGTGAACATATATTTTGAAAAGATTTTAAAATATCATATTATGCTTTGCCTAAGGGAAAAGGAAAATATTGTTCATCTTTTTCTATGTCTAGTGGTGAGAGCTTTGGAAATGATGCTACTCTTCTGGAAACATTATGGGGAGTTTTGACACATTCCTGTTACATTTTAATTCATCATTGCTGGATATTCTCATTCCAATTTTTAGCTATATCATTCCCCCTCCCCTTTTCATTCATACCAATGAGAAGAGTATTTTTCAGAGATTAAAAAGACACCTCTCAGAACCTCATTCCTTAGGCTCTTAAGCCTTTAATTCCATGAAACAGAGGCAGGCAGATCTCTGTGAATTTCAAGCTAGTCTGGTCCATGTAGTGAGCTCCAGGGAAGGAAGGGCTATAGAATGAGACCCTGTCTCAAGAAAAGGTCAATTTTTAGTCATAGTTGATTTTGAATCAACAAAGGAGAGAAATTTAAAATAAGAGCTCTGAGGAAATGGCCATTAAAAAACAAACAAAAACAAACAAACAAAAACTTTAGCTATGTAGTATGTGGAGTCACTAAGTGTAATTTGACATTATGTGTTCTCTAAAATTTTTTTATGTTGTATCCCTAAATGCCTTGTAGATGAAGAACAATAATTAAAACCTAAACAACAGTGTTTAAATACTGAGTGCAATAATGCTTTGAAAATGTGCTTTAGGGGAGTTATTAGCTGTGCCATTTTTACTGATAACATATTTATATGTAAATTATATTTATCTTTTTTCTTGTACTGTGAATATAAAAATATTGTAACATTTACTAATTTTTAAATTACCCACCTTTCAGAAATGAACATATGAATGTTTGTGTTTTAAAATTTGAAACAGAACTCCAATAATTCTGTTTGCTCCAATAATTCTGATATGCTCCAATAATTTTATCTTATTTATTTAAAATATTCATATTTTTAAGAAACCCAAAATATTCAAAATAATCTTTCACTCAAGAGACTCCCTAAGATTACAGAAAATTCAGTAAAATGTTTTTGTCTGTGGAGACTGAAGCAGAGTCTACTGGATGCTAGGCGGGTGTCCAATCAGGAACTCTATCTCCCGATTTTTATAGTTTCCCGAAACTATAAAAACCTTACTGCTAAACATTATCATGGAGTTATTATCTAAGCAGGATACTTTTCTTTTCTATTTCACAGCAACCTAGGCTGGATGTAACGCTCCACACAGCTTGAGCAAACTTTGAACTCACTGTACTTCTGCCTTCCTCTTTTGAGGAAATTATTTTACAAATCAAGAAAAGTAAATTGTTTAGATGAAGTACAAGGGTAAAACATTCTGTTATATACTAATCTGTACTGGTGTGAATTTCTAATGTGTTTTTTGAATGAGTTTTATAACTCTCTGAATTGAATGCATCCATAAACTTTTCCATGGCTTTTTAAAAGTGTATTTTTCATACACAGAATAAAGGGTTTCATGACGATTTCTTGTGTTCATGTCTTTATTCTTGTGCAGTGATGGTTGGCAATTGATAGCCCATGGACCAAAGTTACTGCTCAAAGTTTTCTGCACCTTAAATGTTAAGAATAGCTTTTACAACTTAAATGCTTAGGGGAAAAAAAGCACATGACTATGTTGTGTCATATGTGAAGTATATGAAAACCACACTGGCACACCCATAGGTAAATTTTTACTGAGATGCCATACGCCTCATTCTTTGCATTATGTCTATGATTGTGCTTTTTGGTGTAGGTATGTGTGTGTGTGTGAGTACATGAACACACCTGTGCAAGTGCGTGGAGGCCAGGTTATGTGGAGTGCGTTCCTCCGTTGCTCTCTATCTTCTACAATGAGGCAGGCTCTCTCCCTTGAGCCAGAGTTACCAGCCACCTTGCCCCAGTGCCGCTGTCTTTCTCTTTTGAGTTGCAGGTCACCCCAGTGCCTGCATGTCCTTTGGTCTTCCCACTCTCACAGCAAGTGCTTTACCTGTGAGGCCCAGTGTGGCTTCTTGCTATGTAATTGAAAAGCCAAGATGGTGCCTGCAGCAGAGACCAGCGGGACACAGAGCTCAACATTTCAAAAGTCAATTCCTTTACAGAACAACAACAACAACAAAAGACAAATCCTCCAAAGTATTTGCCGGTTCTAACTGCATAACAAAACCCTGGATGTTATTATTAATTGATACTTAAACTAAACGGACTGCTGTCTGGAAAAATTTAAAGCACATGAGGGAACTCATTTAAAAAGCTGTGGATGTAATTTTATCTGAAATAATCTTAATTTAGGAATTAATTAAAGACTACACCACTCAATTTAGAAAGACTTTTATTTGAAAACGGTACCTACATTAAAATAACGATGCTGTACATTGTATATGTATGTATTAAACTATCATAATAAAATCTGTTTCATACCAATGGAATATAATCAATGAGGCTGGAAACAACCCAGATGTCCCTCAATGGAGGAATGGATACAGAAATTGTGGAACATATACACAATGGAATATTACTCAGCAATAAAAATTAAAAACAACAACAACAACAACAACAAGGATATCATGAAATTTGCAGGTAAATTGTGGAAACTGGAAAAGATCATCCTGAGTGAGCTATCCCAGAAGCAGAAAGACACACAGAGCATACACTCACTCATACAGACATAGAATATAGGATATTTTTGAAGAAAGAGGGCAAATGTTTCTACCAGAACCATGGTCGTGGAAAAGTGTCCACTATGAAGAGTCAGGCATCTGTCTGGTTTTAAGTGTCTTTGCTTGCACACTTTTTTGGAGGCATTGCTAACAATACCAGTTTCCCATTGAATATATTTCACAGCCCACAGAGGCTCCTATTCATATCATACACATGTTAAACAGTGAAGACCAGGACAGGATCAACAAATGATTTGTTTTGGACTGTTTTTCTTTTTAGTCCAAGCTCCATCAAGTACAGCACTGTTTGGTGGCATTACTAGGAAACCTTTTGCTTCTTTTTATTGATCTCCCATCCTAGTAAAATATTGGGAAAGAGTTACACACAGAAATGAGCACGCAGCTGGCAGGTGCCAATAACACCTGACAAGGTTGGTTCACTACTGAAAGTTGGTGGACACACAGAGGGCTTTGCACTGTGTGAAGATTGGTGAGGGATCTGGGGTGAGAGAGAGAGAGAGAGAGAGAGAGAGAGAGAGAGAGAGAGAGAGAGAAGAGGAGGAGGGAGAAGAAGAAGGCTGGAACATCATTGTTATAAGATGAGATGTGGAGTCAAGGCCACTGGAAGTTGGACAGAGTCCTTTCTCCATACAGCCAGTCCATTTGTTCTCTACTTTGTCGTAAGAAATTTCAGAAAAGTTCAACTTCCTGGAGTTCCAGGCCCACTTTCTGTTTATCATAAAGCTTTTGTTTAAGGGTGTTCTGATATAACCTATTTGCTGTACAGTTTTCTAGAGCTAGGTGAAGGTTTGGAGTATTGTTCACTATGCAATCTCCTTTTATTATAAATAGTTCAAGTCTGTTCCTTATAGTAAAGATTATTACTGAAAGAACAGCATGAGGACCCGCTTCAGCTTAGTTCTTTTCACAGACCACCATGTGCTCTGAGGAGTTTCTCATGAGCACAGGTTTTGAGGCCAAGAACACATTCTCTTAAACAAACCTCACTGTAAATGGGGCTTACATTCCCAGCATAAGCAGACGCCAAAATGCCCATTACGCTGAGAGTGGGAAGTACAGCATGGCAGGGGCATGTGAGAAGGGGGAAGGTCATAGAGACAGACAAGAAGCCAAAGAGCTTCGGGTTCAGGCTTGCCCTTTTAGCTCCAGATAATCCGCTGAAATTAGTCCCGTTTCTCATCACAGTGACAGACTACTGACAGATTCAACTCAACAGAGGAGGATTTATTTTGGCTCAAGGTTCAGCAGGACACAGTCCATCCAGGAAGGTAAAGCAAAGCAGATGGGGCAGACGGGGCAGCTTAAGTGTCTGGGTCTCTGGGAATAGGAGCTTACAGCTTCTACATGTTACAAATCAGGAAGCAGTAGGTTGGACTGGAAGTAAGACCACAGTATAACCTCAAAGCCTGTTCACCAGTGACCTGCTTTTTCCTGTTAAGTCCCACCTCCGAAAGGTTTCACAATCTCCCAGAATAGTGCTGCCAGCTAGGAACTGAATATTCAAACACATAAACATATCACCTGCATTAATCCCTTTCAATGCTCCCAGTTGCCAAATCATCTTTCACTAGACTCCATTGCTCACCCAATGCCACAGGATGGACCAAGCTTCTTGAACTTTTGGGGAACAAACTACATTTGTGTCATAATTCCATTTGTGGTGGTTTGAATGAAAATGGCTCCCATAGGCCCACAGATAGTGACACTGTTAGGAGGTGTGGCCTTTTTGGAGTAGGTGTGGCCTTGTTGGAGGAAGTGTGTCACTGGGCTCTGAGGTTTCAGAAGCTCAAGCCAGGCCCAGTGCTGTCCTCTTCCTGCTGAGTGCTGACCAGAAGTAGAACTCTCAGCTCTTCTCCAGCCTCATGTCTGCCTGTATGAGCATACTTCTCACCATGCTTCCCATCATGAAGCTAATGGACTAAACCTTTGAATAGTAAGCCAGCCCCAATTAAATATTTTCCTTTTTAAGAGTCTCCCATGGTCATGGTGTTCCTTCACAGTCATAAAAAAAACTGACTAAGACAACATTAAAGAAGGATTTTGTTGCCAGGTGTGGTGGAGCACACCTTTGATCCCAGCACCCAACGAGGCCGAGGCAGGGAGATCGATGTAGAGTTAGGTCTGTCAAAGTGAGTCCAAGACAGCCAAAGCTACAGAGAGAAACCCTATCTCAAAAGAAAAAAAACAAACAAAACCCAAACAAAAACAAACAAGAAAAACAAACGAACCAGACAAAGAGAACAATTCTGTCTGAATGGGAGTATAAAGGAGAGAGTCTAGTCTAATAGGGTTAATTCCTATATGGCAGACAGAGACATCAGGGAGGTCTGCTCAAGGAGAAAGTTCACGTGATGATACAGGGAGGCCTTAGGAAAAGTTACCCTGCTTCCAACTGAAGACTCAGACACTTGGCCCGAGGACAAGAGAAGAAAAGTACCTGTGGTGCCAGCCCTGGCTGTGGTGCTTTGCTCTGGTGGCACTAGAAGACTTGCACTGTGTTGTTGTAGGCTCATGTTCTTTAAAGCATCTCAGCACTTTGTACTGGACATCTCACGTTTGGTCAGACAACCGAATGAAGGTAAATAAGTCAGTAAGCTGGAAACAAAAGAGAGGTAGCTTTGTACTTCTTGATTTTCTCAGCTACAAAAATAAGTGATGCTCCATCTATGTAACCTGGAGATTTTAATTCTAAACTCCCTCTCCTTCAGGAAGCAGTGTACCCTTTGAATCCTGAGCCCAAATAATCATGGACCTCTCCTTTAGATTGTATGTGGTATTCTGGGGTTAGCTTTTCTGAGAATGGGCTGTCACGAGGCTAGCAAAGCCTTGACACTCTCTGCCTTGCTGTCAGGCCCTCTGATCTCTCCAGCATGCTCAGACCATCCTGTCACCTGCTATGACCTTCTGCATTGCGGAACAATGGAACCACCTGATCCTGGACTTTCAGTCTCCATAACTATGAGAGACATAGACAATTTCTCTTTACAAATTTTCCAATTTCAAATTTATTGTAAGAAGAATGGAAATGAACCTATACAAAAGCCCAGTCTCCACATATGACCATTTTCCTCTGATAATTCATTGTACACACTTCTTCTTCAAATCTTTGCAACAATCTCATAAGCAGTTGATCTGACTCTCTTACTCTTCAGATAACCAACGGTTTCTTCATGCCATGTTCCAGAGGCTCTGATTTCAAAGCAAGCTAAGCAGTGGATTAGTTGGGTGGTGTCCTGGTTGCTAAGCTGTGAGTGATCACAGGAAACACTGAAATGCAATGCAGTGGAGAAAATAATGCTTTCCCAAATTCTTTTTAGGGATAGTAGAGCAGCTCTTTTATATGGGAGCAGGGAGTAAGAATGGGACTTCCAAGAAGAATATTCCAGTAATTGCTGAGATCTGTTACATTGTTTTCTAACAACAACAACAACAAAAAGTGTGCTACTACAAGACCTGGCTGATGTGCTCAGGAATGGATAGGAGAGGAATCTTCATCAGTCAAGTGTTTAGTCCTGTCTTAGGCATGTACCGAATAGGCTGACTTAGCCTGGCTACCATTTTTTCCTGAGTCAAAATGGATTGTTTACATTCACGGCACTTGGTGAAAAAGCTAAATTAGTTGGAACTGGAGATAAAATCAGGAGCATACTTTATAGGACTCATTCTGATCAGGTCCTAGACACATACAAATATGTGGGAAGAAAACCTCCTTCTTTTAGAGATGCATTGGTACATTGTACTTGAGCTTTATTTATTTATTTATTTATTTCATATTTCTTTTTTTTATTAATTACACTTTATTCATT